TTACGCCAATTTACTGTATTACTTTTTCATGACAGAAATGAAGAAAAAATATTCTAATAAAATTACCTTGCTATATGAAGATGATATTTCTTGTTAAAAAAATAATTCTGGTTTATAAAATCCAAATATATGGTTTTTTTAATTATTCATTTGGTAACGGTTTACCAAAAAACTCTAATTTTCAAAATTATAATTGTTTTTACCACACATTTAACCAAAAACACAAAACTGAAAAGTAAATTCAACCGAATGAATGTTTTTTATACCACAAATTTACCAAATTTCCCCACATATACCAAATTTTATCATATATTTTTAAACCAGATTTTATTTTTAATTTTACTAAACTCATTACAATAGCACTTCGGTAAAAACTACCGTGCTTTTTGATGCTCCCATTGAGCCATAAACACGATTAAATGTTACCATATTCTGCTAGTTTTGACCATACTTTGTTACCTTAGTATTTTTTTTTTTATATTTCTAGATGGTAACTACTGAAAATTATTCGAAAATAAATTCAATTTGCGTAGTTTTAGCTTTCTTGTATCGTTATAACGCATATTTTTCTAATTTTGAAACAACTTTAGCATTTTAGTCTAATTTCACTTATATTTATGGTTTGAGGTAAATTAGTTGTATGTCGAAATGATTTGTAATAAATAATAGCTTACCGTTTCCTTTACTACCCTATTTAACAACACATACATGATTTTTTTAGCATTTGACCAATAGTTAAAAAATTAGCTTTTAAAATAAAAAAGAACTTTTGAAAAATTTATTGTTGACCAACTCTTTGCCTTTCTTTGAAACTGATCCTGCTATCCTCGGCATCATAGTTCTAAAACGAATTACCGTTTTGTAGAGAAGGAGAACGATCAAAATACGTTAATTAGATACAAGGAGATTTGACCAAAGCCTTAAGTGATCATCCAGTTTGAGTATTGAGTAATATCACCATTAGTTATAAAATTCTAACAAAACTAGCTTACACTTCCCTTATCTAATAAAAAAGAACAATTCCATGTTTATTTCGAAATGCTGTATCGTAATTCGAAATAAAATACTTTTTTCTACCTCCAAAGTCATATCTCTTTCTAAAAGTGATCTTTCTTTATTCTTGTATATTCAGATATGTAATATTCATAACGATAGTCCATCACGTTTTATGGTTAGTAGTCATTTTGCTTTCCGTTCAAGCCATACCATCCGATATACTGAGTTAAGATTCTTTCAGTATCTTGCAATTGTTATTCAGCAATAAAATTCAATATATAAATATCGATCGATGATTTTTATATTCTTTTTGTACTACGTCTGACAGAACATCCCAAAGAATATTATGTGGTCTTACAAGCACTTATGTTTTCACACCATGCATGGTTTTTTAAATTATTTATTTATTCGAAAATTCTACCTTTCTTTTATTCAATAATCATAACATATTTTATTGTTTTATATCTTTATGTACGCTTGAAATTAATTTTAAAATATGCCATATTTAAAATGATGTGAAATTTGAAATTTAATGCACATTTATGCTGAGTTCAGATTTTTATATAAATATTTGCAATTCTCGTTTAGCAATAAAATTCAATAGCAATGAAATGCAATGTATAAATATCTATCGATATTTTTTTTTCTTTTTTTACTACGTTTGATAGCACGAAATAGAGACTGGGTCCATCATGGCTTCACAGCACTCGTTTTAAAGCTATATATTTAATAGCAAATCATATATTCTATAATCATTATTAAATGTATAATTTTATATTTCTTATGCAAGCGCAAAATTAATTTCAAAATATTGCATGCTTTAAATTTCATACAATTTAGTGCAAATGAATACTGAGTTAAGATTCTTTCAGTATCTTGCAATTGTCATTCAGCAACAAATTCGGTAAATAAATATCAATCGACAGATTATTTTTTCTTTTCCACTCCTGATAGTACAAACCAGAGAATATTATGTGGACCACACATTTTTTTTAAGTTATATATTTAATCTCACTATATAACTTTATTTAAACTTACTATATAATTGTTTAATCATTACAAATTATAAATTTTTGCATTTTGTATGTATGCGGGAAATCGAATGGCATATAAAATAATCAAAGTATGTCTTATTTGAAAAAATATAAAGCAATTTTATAATTATTATGCTCTTATTTTCCTTTATTGTAACAAAAAGAAGTTTCAATTTATTCCAAAGCAGAAATTTCAAGTAAAAGATTTGAGCTTGTAAATTTTAAAATGCAAAGACATAACGTTTAATAACAAAAAATGACTGATTACAGTAACTTATGAATAGAATTCATTTGACAGTATAGAACTTGTTTTCAGGCGTAGTAGTTTAAAATTTTTTAACAAATAAACACATAAAGTTGCATGTTACATTTACAAATAGCGGCAAGGCAGTTTAAGACTCATGTCTTTCAGTTTGTTTCATTTCCTTGCTATTCTGCAATTGAATTTACAAAAAAAAATGAACAAATATTTTCATTCAAAATTGTTCATAGAAAAACAATAATAGACTAAGTTTTTCAGTAATAAACAAAAAAATTTAAAATATAATGTAAATTTCATGATCTTCTATTTTCATATGTAATTGGAATTAAAAACTAAACTGCTGTTTGTAGAAAATGCAACACCATGAAGGAATCATCAGAATCAAATGAAATATTATTTTAATATCAATTATNTATATATATATATGAACATGAATAGTAAATTTTCTTTTACTTTTACGACTATTTCTTCATTTCGATGCCTGAAAACTTCGGATAATATGTGCTTTTTTCCATTCATTAAAATATACTCAAAATATAAATTGCTATGTAACAAATAATAGAAGAATAATTCTTTCCATACCAATTAAAGCGTATTTTGATTCACCCTTCAATAAAAAATTCAAATACATTAAAACAACACATGTTCCAATTGACTATTCTTTTACAAAAATTGTTCTTCACTTACTTGAATTATCATAAGCAGATTTACGTCGTCAATTTTCATGAGAGCTAAAACTGCTATTCATATGCAAAACTATTCATTTTACTCGTTTACAGCTCCCTTCGATTTTGTTAGAATCAAAATTTACAAAAACTGCAATTCACCACGCTTCAAACATCCCCCTTTCTTGCCGCTTCCCCTACTTCGAATGGAAGTTTTCTCTTTAAAATTTCTTTTCTGTTTTCTTTTGTATTATCATTTTCCTCTCTCCAGAGACTGTCATTACTCCAGGATTTTCATGCTAAACTAAAAGCCTGGAAATACACTTTTTGGAAGCTAAATCACATTTTCCAATGTCCCAAATCTCTCTTTAAAATAAAGCAATAAAATTCTCGGAGCTTCTAGAGCACTCAACCCATCAGCGAAGCTTAAATTTGCAAGTAGCTGACAAATGATCCCCAGGCTAGAGACGCGTGGGATGCGATTGCTTTTTCACCTCAATATCTTGAGCCCGCCCCTTTACCTTTCATGGGAATTTCTTATCATAGATTTATAAATATGACATCCTGTCCTTATGAGAAATTCTCGGTTCAGCTTTATTTCGTATCAGTCGAAATGTACTATACGGCTGAGTATTTTAGACTGAAATAGATGTTTGACATTTTTTAATAATAAAAGAATCGACTAGTACTACATTAAATAGTTGCAAAATTGAATTTTTTGTAAAATGATAACATTAGTTATGTTCTTAAACTCTATCTTCATATCCTTATGGTAATTTGCATGTTGTACTTTTTTCCTTCTATCTTAAGAATGACCGAATATTTTTAAAAAATGGTTAAAGTAAAATAGAATGTTTTAATGCAGTATGAGTCGGAAATAAGAAACTTGAGACTGAACTGAAACTGAAGTAACTGAACTTAACTTGTTTAATTAACTAAACTTAATCAAACAAGAACTAATGCGTAACAAAATATCCAACTTAGTTAAAAATACGTGCAATAACAAAATGATTTTTCTCTTTATTCAAATACAGTAGAATTAAATAGTTAATTTGATTATTGTTGGATTTTAGTGACGAGAGTTTTTTTTCTCTGTTGATAAAATAATTCAATTAAGTGCAGCGTCGTTGGCTGCATGTAAGAGACTCCAGATAGAAAAAGTGATGATATTTCCAAAAAATAAATATATTCCTCCTAAAAAATGCAATTTAGTTTATTATGTTTGAGTAAGCCAGAATTCCAATCTTTAATTGCAAATTTAATTTAATTAGCTATAATATTTACTTTACTAGTCGCTTAACTATCAACGAAGACGAAAATTCACTATAGCGGAATTATTTGTTTCTAATTGACATTTTAATTTAAAAGCATGTAAAAAAATTGAAGAAAACATTTATGGAAGTTTGTAATTTAAGTATAAAGAATTGTTTTTTTTTATTCGTGACTTTTACTTGAATAATAAACAATCATTTTGGGATTTTAATCAAGACACGAAGCACTGTAAGTGAAGAAATGGGCCTTATATTATTAAAATGAACATTTTAAGAGCACCACACACATTTTATGTAATGTGTCTGATCTTTAGTCGACTTTAAACACATTATTTCAATCTTGGGAAAATATGATAAATTTAGTACTACTGTCAATTAAGATACTTTCCCCCAAATTAGCCTAATTTTAATAAATATCAAAATGAATTTTTTTAGGTTTTATTTATTACCCTATAATGAACACATGGTCCAAATTTGAAACTTCAATCCTGGTAAAAATATATTACTTAGCATTGCCGTCAACTAGGTTAATTACCATGATAATTACAAAATATTGAAATGAAACTCTTTAAGCTATTTTATTTTGAGGACGTGCTTCAAGTTAATAGCTTTTCAACTTCATAGGAAGTAGGAGAATTAGTGATGAGGTGAAAGCTTTGCATTTGTATATAAATACAGACGATATAAAATTTTCTGAAATACCATCTGATAATTTAACGCATCAAAATTAAGTATTTTCTTTTGTAACTTAATTTCTACTTTTTCTCCTTAGTTGTCCCACAACTAAGTCTCAGACTTGGAAGCAAACTTCGACATTCAAACATACTAGAAGGAAACGATGTTTACTTCGAGTGCACCATCAAATCTTCACCATGGGTCCATGAAACTGGTTGGCGATTCGAAGGCCAGGAACTTGTTACAAATATATCTGCTGGTGTGATCGTCAGTAACCAGTCACTAGTTCTTCAAAAAGTACAAAGGCGGAACAGGGGACGATACAGCTGCACAGGAACAAACAGTGAAGGACAAGGAGAGAGTAATCATGTTTACTTACGTGTACAATGTAAGTACTTTGTTATAAATCTGGATATAATCATTGGTTAACTTTCTTTAATGTGACTTATTAACCAGGTTTGACGCGTAAAGAAATACAGCAGATGAGATATCAACCACATACATGCTGCAACAGCGTAAAATGTCTTATTTCTGAACAATATGTTCATTTGAAATTAATAATGATAAGATTTTTTTTCCTATGAGCTGCACAATCTATCTTCCCGATGAGCAGACCTAGTGCGTTCTCCAGAAGTGGTATCCACTCTTTCAGGACCACCACAATGGGTGAGATACCGTTGGCCATGTTTATTTGGACGTCTAGTTTCTGCCACACTAGATGGCAGCACCGAGACTCTCTTTGGATGCTAAAGTGCACTAGAAATTTAATTTTGCCGGAAATGCCAAGATAATGATAAGATAACGATGCCGAAATATATATATTTCAATCTAGAAATGCATTAGCTTTACTTGTTGGATAGTTCTGATAATAAGCGCTGATTTATGCGCTCGAAACAGGCTGACTTTTTCCATTTCTGCTCTTGCACATTGCTGAAAACATAATTTAATTTTATCTGAAATTCTCAAAGGAGTACATTGTTCACTGAAAGCGTATTATGCACTGCCATTGATTAAGTTTAAAAGGTTAATTTCATGAAAAATTTTAAGTGAAAAACATATTAATAATTCCTGTGTGCTTTGGTAAATTAATTTTTTAGAAATACACATAAAATTAGACGGAAGCTATTCAAGTGAAATTACGGAAGAGCTATTTGTNATGATCATTTAAATTTTTATTGCATAGTTACGAAATAAAATTAAGAACAGGATTTTACACTTACAATACTTGACGGCTCTTCAAACTGTACTATATAGTACATTTTTAAAAAATTATTGTGATATACAAGGTTTCTTAGTAATAATTGTACAAATAAGACTATTTATTATGATATATTTAAATGAATGAAGAATATTTTTGTTATACTATCTGATCTCAACACACGTTATAATAACAGATTCAGTTATCAATGAATGAGCAAAAAAGCTATATATATATATATATATATATATTAAAACTTCATTCTTGGAGGCCACTTCAAAAATATAACCATACATTTATTTTGAAAATATTGTTTAGTGCAGTTAAAGAGTAAAATAAAAAATTTCTGAAGTTTCATATCGTCCATTAAATGTTTTCTTTTCCATCAATCAATTGAAAGAAATGTTTACTAAAGCTTTTCCTAAAATAGCAACGGCTTTGCATTATTGCCATTATTAAATTTTTCTGAAAAATATTTAAATGAATATTTAAGAAATTCTTTGCTTAAAAACCATTAATTTAATTTAGTACTACCCTATCACATTATTTTAGAAAAGAAATGATCCAACAAAAACTATCACGAGATTGTTTTCACTTCTGTGGAAAACAATATGTTTAATACTTAAATATTCACAAAACACCTTCATTTTCAGAAATAACACAAAATCTGTCAAAAAGCAAATAAATGTCAAAGTAAATTTAGTCGCGGAAAACAACACTTACAAACTATCTATTTCTAGTTTTTTTCCCCCTAATCAAACGGGTGTAGCCCCATTTTTAAAAATAAAACTGACTGGAAAATGAAGAAAATTATAGCGAACATCGTAATCACAACCTTTCTTTCTAAATCTGCGTGAAAACTGATGGTTGGAGATCGAGTGAAATTTCACCACTTGGCGTCATCAACATAGGATGTTAAATGGAAAAGTAGCCAAGGAAGGTTGTAAAGAGAAGTTAATAATAAGTTTTGTTAATGACAATCTTGCGTGTTGGTAGCAAATGAGTGGATTTTTTTTTGGTTTCTTTAAAAACATACACCATGTAGCAGGTGTTAGTGGGTTGAAATTCATTACTCAACATTTAAATCAACCGGCACGTCTCTATTAAAGCCTTATGCAAATTTTGATGCTTCTATGTTATTGTTTTAGAGTTAAAAAATAAAAATGTTATCTAACCCTACAGATTTAGTTTGTTTAGAAGCAAACTTACTTTCTGACTTTAGAGATAAAAATTGCTAGTTGTGAAACTGAATTATATTTACATGTCATTTTGCTTAAAATGGCTGAAATATCGTGGTGCTGTTGAAGTGAATAACTTATTTCGAAGCTGTTTTCGTGACTTCAAGTAGTTCTTGAATTTTACTATATATTCATTTTTCAAACATTTTTTAACCGTCATGTTCCATTTCAATAATTTTCCTGTTCAATGAGTTCTAACTGAGATCTAAATTAGCCTCCATAAAAGAAAAACTTATCAAAACACTGTAAAGAAAATTGGGATCGAATTCGTTATATAAGGAACCGTTACTTTGGTGGCATCATCCGTGAAATCTACTTTACTGTAAAATTCATTTTTTCAGTAAAATATTATACATAATTTCCCCAGTAGCATTAGCTTAATTTGAGTTATTCAGTGATTTTACAGTAATTATTACTTTTATAACCGTCGTTGAACAGCTGACCAGATTTCGAGTTGACGACTACCCATGTCCAAGTCCATAGCCCTTGCAATTTTGGACCCAACCCAGAAAGCAAGAGCTCTCCAGGATCAAGTATTGGGAGAAATGTTGCTTTCGTGGAGAACTTTTTGATGGAACAAACCCGCATTTGCTTTACATGATGAGGAAAGTCACGTAAAACCTCCTACCATTAGCCTGATGGCAAGAGAACTCTAGCCCAAGATCCGACTACTCAGAGGATATTATACGTCATCACTGTTTTTGGTCCGAGCCGGGTGCTGAATTCATATCAATCAGAAATCACTGAGATTCGAACAAAGATCTCCTCAACGGGAGGCAAACGCTCTATCCCTTGAACCACCACGGCTCTTGTAATTGTTAGTGTAAAAATTTCAGCATCTTATTTTTTATTTCTAACATGTTCCATAGATTGTACGTCAAAAATTACCGGTATTCTGAGTGTACCTGAGTGTACAGTGTACAAATATGACAGCTCTATTAGTTTTTATTTCCCTATCGAATACTTTCCTGTCTCATGTTTATAGTAAATATTGCATTTATATCAAAAAGACAAACTATTTTGTTAGCTATCAATATTTTTACGACTTTATCCTTGAATGGATTTCCCCAATTATTACACAGTTAGAAGTTTTATTGCTTGTTCTATTGAATGTCATCCATATTTGCTACAAACCTTAATATAATGCTGAATTGAACCTCATCCTATCTTAAAAAATCTGCCTTAAAAAAGAATCATAGCTTAAAAATCCTGGCTTAAAAAGGAATCCTAGCTTAATTTACCTACATTCAGCTTTAATTTACATGGAAGCGTAAACCTGGATATATTTCAAACTTTATTAAGTTTGCCGCAATTTTTCACCGTATTATGATTAAATATATTGATATCATGGATACATTTCTCACCTTATTAAGGCTGTAGATAATTTTCCTTAAAAATGCCTATATAATGGAATCCTGATTACGATTGCAGAAAATTTTCCTCGTATTCAAGTTAAAGATAACGATGTCATGGATATATTTCTCACCTATATTTCAGCTTGCAGCAAATTTTCATTGCATTATGATTAAAGATACCGATATTATGGATATACACCGAAGAGCAGTTACATTATGACTATCCTGATAATAACATGTAGGACCACCTTTAGCCCTCAAAACTGCTAGCACCCTCAGTGGCATTGATTCACAAGGTGCTGATAAGCATCTGGTACCAAGCGCTCACCAACTGGTCCTGCAATTCCCTCACATTGCGAGGGGGTAGCGTGGCAGCACGAATTTGGTTTTCCAAGTAGGACCACAAATGCTTTATTGGATTAAGGTCAGATTCAGGTGAATTTGGAGGCCAAGACATGACTTGAAAGTCACTGGAATGTTCCTGGAACCAATCCATGACGATTCGACTCTTATGACATGATGCATTATCGTTTTGGTAAACACCATCTATGTTCAAGTAGCTTACTGACGTCAAGGATTGTTCTATGAGGATTATGGGTCCTAATGTGCCCGATGAAAACATTGTTCCTGGGCGATAAACCATGAAAACCTGGGCGAGCCCACTGTTATAGATGGGGGGGTGGTCATAATGTAATGGCTCTTTGGTGTATTTCCCACTTTATTAAAGTAGAAGAAAATTTTAACCTTATTCTTACGAAAGATATCGATATTATGCTTCAAAATTCAATAGGACATTTTGTAGTTTACGGTGAAGAGCAATGTAATAGAAATACTAATTAAAAAATAATAATTCTTTTAAATCAAATTGTATATGAAAATTACTAATGGACAATGAAATTTTGGTATTGAAATTATCTGTATTGAAAATGTATAAATAAAATGCAATTAAATGTAACATTTAAATTATGAGATAAAAATTCCAAAAAAAAATTGGAATTAAATGCCGTGTAAACATATTCGTACGTGATTACGCTTTGAAGAAAGAGTGAACAATATAACATAACAATGTATCATGCAAATATATATATATATATATATATATATATATATACAATGTCTAAATTTTTATTTACTAACTATTAATTTTTCTTAATTTCATTTTTAAAAATTTTAATGACTATATTTAATGCNTATATATATATTGCTCAAATCATATAACGCATTTACTACACAAAATAAAATTAAATATAAAGTCTGTCAAATAGTTTAATATTTAAATAATAAACGTCTAAAAAAGTTAGAAATAAATTTCTTTTTTCCTTTTAAATTATTTCTTAAATCGTGTTGTTTCTTAACTCAGTACCATTTGTATTGAATTGCAAATTTTCTCATTTTTAACAACTGTTTAGAATATCCGTTCATTTTCGAAATTGAGATAAATGAAAATATATTAAGGAAAATTTCTGTTACATTTATTCCAGTGCGAAAGAATATAAAACTAATTAATAAAGGTTATTTCTGTCATAAATATAATTAGTATATTTAAAGAATTTATGAAATTCACTCAAGTTTAAAAATGGATTTTAAAGGAAAGTCA